CCATAAAATTCCCGAAGGGGCCCCGATAACGTGGTAGGTCTCTGCAATGTCCCTGTAGTCCCCTCTATATAATGCCAGTTTCCATTTCATTTTCCATGTTCTTTTCCATTTGATTCTCCATTATTAAGAGGGATACTAGCCCACCCAAAACCCTAAACCCAAAACCCTAAACCCTATGGGATTATGGTCTTCAGTGAGTTTTTGAGCTCAGCCATCCATTCTCCTGGAGCAGCTGAACGTCAGGCATCTCCTGTGCAGAAAGGCTACACTCCTGGAAACTAACATGGAAACCCAAAAAGGGCCCTATAAAGACTACAGACCTTTTAAAAGGGGGCTATATGGGTTTCCATGTTAGTTTGGGGGAGTGTAGATGCAACTAAAAGGATCCAGCGTGATAGGTTCAAGGACAACTCTAAGTGGCAGTTTCCCGAAAAAAGGGAGATGCCAATATAGACCCCAATATAATATACTATTATCCCTACTATAGGGAGCCCCAAAAAGGTATTCCTGATCTTCGGAAGTTTCCAAATAGGACGTGCTGCCACACCTCGTAAATGACTCGCTTGGAGGCATCCTGCCGGTCAACATAGAGGGACCGAATTCTGCTCACAGACTCGAGGTTTCCAGAGATGAGGGGTCCTTTTTGGGGTTCCATAGTAAGGATTGTCATATATCAAATTCGTCAGCAACTAACTGAACTCAAACCTCTGCATGCCTTTGGAGCGTTGATGCCTTTGCTAAACAGTGGCAACGAATCATATGCTATGTTTTCGACTAAGGTAGAGCTTCCTGCAGCATGCGTTTTCTGACCTAATTTTGTCATGTCTTAATGCCAGTATAACTCCAAATATATGTCCTAATATACTATAGTAGTTTCCATTTTCTTTTCAATTATCCCAAAATAACCCCATATAACCCTATATACCTGGTGTTGAATGATCCTGGGTTTGCAAACGAGAGATGGATCTCACTTAAATTCCGGAATGCTTCCAGAGTAGTTCTTGGCTATGTCTTGGGTACTACTGCCCCCAACCAGAAGCAGTCTATACTAGGAGTACACGGGGTCGTATCATTGGTTATATATACATATTCATATCATAGTGATTCTCCAACTATATCCAACTGTCATTGACTTTTGGCAGTACCCAAGCTATGCCGGACAAAACCACGAATGTGGTGTCCCAAAGGAACTCATTATCCAATATGATCTCCACGTAACCCATACATGAGCATTAGAGCGTGTATTGTTTTCGTACCTCCATCAGAAATATGGATCCTTATTCTCATCCCTAGAACCCACTATGATCCCTATAACCAGTTGCTTTTCCATTTGATCCCCAGAATGGATGCATGCTTTATGAAGCAGAAGTTGGCATCCCTTCATTCCAGTATGAAAGAGGGCAGGCACCCAGCAGCTGGCACGAAGGACGTCTTGCAATGCTGGCATCCGAGCGCATGAAAAATGCATGGGCGGGAGAGCAATCGAATGCGCGGTCGTATACTTACTAGGAATCAGGACGGAGTCTGAATGGGTGGAATGCTTGCAAACGATTACCATTTCTTTCATGGAATGCACGTGGTATCACGGCCATACAGGATCAAATGCATCGCTGCCCGAATCACACTTCTGGAGCATGACATGGAAAATGAAATGGAAGCTTGTACAGGGTTCATGGGCTTAGAGTAATGTTATGGGCACCCCCTAAATTCTAAACCCTAAGGTGCCCCAATGTTTGGAAACATGTCCGGCCTGGAATGCAGCTCGAAGGAGCCGGCCGACGGCATAAACCACGCCTTAGCACCAGTCTCTAAAGGTTACTACTATTGTTATTGGTATTATTACGTTTATTCTTATTGTTATTACTATTATGATAATTACAACTATGTATGTTACTTTTAAATCTATTACTGCTGTTATTACTACCGTCATTTTCTCGCTTGTGCCATTTTTATTCTTATTATAAACACTTTCATTCTTGCGATTAATCATGGGAGGAGGCCCCCTTCCTCGAACAATTATATTCAAGCCTGAAATGATCAACATTCCCTGTGAGTAACGTTCTGACCCGCAGGAGACTACGGGGTAATTCATTTTCCATAAATGTCCATTCTGGGAACAGGACTTCTGATCAACTACTACTACTACTACTACTACTACTAACTGAGGGCCCTGCCCAAGTAGATGCCCATAACGCCCCAAGAGCCGGAATAGCCCATGGGTGCTGGAGCGCTCTTCTCGCTTGCCACCTGGCGCTTCGAGACCTACCTGCTGCTGGACTAAAGGTTCCTACTATTGTTATGGGGATTATTACTTTTATTCTTATTATTACTATTATGATTATTACAACTATATGATTTTCGCAAAACTGCCGGGTATACAAGTTGCGATATGCGGCAGTCGCGACCACTTTGGCCTGGAGACGTCCAGTGGACTTGCAACCAAGCTCTTGCTTTCACAGGTTTTTGAGCTCCCCGCCTTCAGCGTCAGAATCGCCTTCTTGGGGGCTGGCCTCAAATTACATTGACTCATCACGAGGGTGGGTGTTTGCCTTGAGATAGGGGTTTCCCACAATTATGGGTACCCTTTTGGGGTTCCCTATAACCCTACTTTGGGGAACTACCATAACCTCAGTGTCCATTTAATTCTCGATGTTCTTTCCTATTTGATTCTCCATCAGTGGGGGTAATATCTGTGAACCCTAAACACTCAGCCCTAAAACCTAAACACTCAGCCCTAAACCGTGGTGTCTGTTTTGGGAAACGACTCGATCAAGCCTCTTTCTCCCAGCAGGCGAGGGTGTCTCTGGACAGAAGCCAGACTCCGCGGACTGGCGCCTCTGGTGCAAACTGCAAACCTATGCTTATAGAGGGGCTTTAGGATTTAGGACTTACGGTTCAAGGTTGCTGGAAGTTGTTGAGAATTCCTATAACAAGACGACACAAGGATCATAATATTGGGTCTAAATGGGGGCTCCCCATTTACTGAAACTCACATGTGAGCCGCAAAGCTCAGATCCTGTCAGAGAACTAGAGTGCCAGGTGGCTGAGTGTTGCTGGCTCCCTCTATCTCGCCCATGGGAATTCCTGCTTCCAAGCAGTTTGACATCGTACAATGGAACAACTTCAATGACAGCGTGTCCAAAATGTATACCAGGCCTCCCGAGCACGAGATTGGACTCGCTGGATCGGAATGTGAGCAAGAGGTCAACGTCATGGCCCGCGTACTGAACCTCACGTCAATCATGGGACTCCCCTAATCACAGCTGTCACAGCATTTAATAAGCCTAACTTAGTAGTCTCCCAGAATATGAGTCCCCCAAAATAGGCCCTAATATTCTATGACCCTTATTATTATGAGGACCCCAAGAGTACCCCTAAAATTTGGGAAGCCCTAAAACCCTAATGCCTAAACTATATACCCCTATATAATCCATATTAAACCCTAAATTCCTTGTTGTCCGCCATGAAGTACCCCTAGTTTTGGGCAATCCCTAAACCTTCCATACCCCGGTGTAACCCCTCTATAATCCCTATATCCCCTTTGAAGGTACCCTCATCTTGCGAAACCCTAAGCCTCAATCCCTAAACCCTAAACCCTCTGTAACCCCTAAATGACCCCTCTATAACCCCCATATGAACCTTATATCCCCCTTCAAGATCAGCCATGTAACATCCATGTTCCTAAGTTCCTAGGATACTCCTTAATGAGCTCCATTATACTTCCCTATGTAATCCTCTATATAACCCCCTTGAAGGAGTTTAGACGACCCTAAACCCTAAACCCACTATATCCCCTATACAACCTCCCTTAAGGAGTTCAGACCCTAAACCCTAAACCCCCTACATCCCCTGTATCCCCTATATAACACCCCCTTAAGGAGTTTAGACTCTAAACCATAAACCCCCCTATATCCCACTGTATAGGTCAGCCATGTAACTTCCATGTTGGCGTTCACTCTCAAGGTCTGGCTGCTGGCCGCAGGGATGCGGACAGGATCCTGTCCAGTTGTCTTCATAATATTATTTTTTCATTTTGTCCGGGGGGAGGGGGGGGGGTGGTTTAGGGAATTAGGGTTCAGGGCTTAGGGTTTGGGGTTCCAGGGTTTAAGGTTTTAGGGTGTCTTGAAAGCTGTTGTATGCGAGTGCTGGTTAGTATAGTAATTAATAATAATAGCAATAATAGTCATAGGCATAATAGAACAACTTGTAATAGTAATACTCACAGTAATTGTAAGACTAATATGTACTAATGGCAATAGAGAAGCTTGCCAGGCTTGCGGTTTATGAGTGTGATCTGCCAGTGTCATGCTACGGAATCATTCTCGACACCCTAAAGAGTAATTTCCATTTTCTTTTCCACTATCCTTACATATAACCCCCACATACTATAGTAGTAGTTCCATCTTATCTTCCATTACCCCTATATAACCCCTATATTAGATCTATCACTCTTGTGTCCTGATGCGTGTCAGCGCCGAAGCTTTCCTTTGCTGGCTTCGACTTGTACGCCCATGCTCTGACCCTAACGTGTACCGAACATCTCGCTGCCAAAAAAAGCCGGGACGCGTTTAGCAGCCCTGCAAGCTGAAGCGTCCTCGGTTGCGTACTGAAGTTAAGATTTGAAATCTAGGGTTTAGGGGTGCGATCTGACACTGTGAAGCCACCAGCAATTCGACATGTTTGAGGGGCGAGCGCGTTCTTGGACAGCGGCACTCCTCAGGTCTGCGTGCATCTGCTCAGTCGGCATCTGTCGGCTACAGCGAGGACAATAGTAATAATAGTGATAATCACAATAGCAATAATAGTAGACTAGTAGTAATAATGTGTCTGCAGGTGGGACGTGCATTGGACTGGCAGTCCATGCGGCCAGGAAGCTTTTGTATTTCTCTGCCCGCTTGCCTTCCCCCGTGTCACCGTTGAAGCGCAGCACGTACCTTGAAACTGGCCTTTGGCTAGCTGGGAATAAATGAATGGACAAGAGAATGGAAACTACTATAATGGGTTATATAAGGACTACTATAAGGATGCCTTTCTTCCTAAATCCATTCCTTCCTACACCCTAAACTATTATAAGGATCCATTCCTAGCTAACCAAAGGCCAGGAAACTGCAGATGCAAAGATGCAACTGCCAAGGCGTACAGGCCTGCCAGCCTATATAATGAGGTCTAATTAGGGCTCAGTAAGCGGGAACTGTGGGGGGGGGGGGTTAGTATAGGGGGGGTTAGAAGGGGAACAAAAATGATGATATAGTCCTGCATCCCCATACATACATATATATACACATAGATTTCAATGTAACTCCATATACCCATATACAACCCTAAATACTCCCACACAGCCCTGTAAACCGGGTCCCATTTTGGTACCTTGAATATTGAGTGCCGCTATACAATCTAAAGCCCATCGGGCCCAAAAATCAGAGAACAACCCACAACCCAAGTGTAGGCAAGTCTCGTGATGTCAATCCATGCATCAGCATCAGGACTGCCTTGGTCTGCTTGCTCTAACATTTACTTTAGGGTTTAGGTTGGGTACTGCCCGTACCCTCTAACAGTCCATGCTAGGGGTAATATCAAGGGCTACATCTACTGATGTTTTCTATATTATCTAACAGCTGCAGATTGGGGGCTGTACCCTACCTTTACTTCGCTACCCTGCCATGTGAGCTATTGTCTGAACTCCTTAAAGAGGAGTTATATAGGGGATTCTATAGGGGAGTACTGTAGGGTTTCTTAAGGGGGATGCTAGGAGTCGCAGATAAAACAAATGACAAAAGCCCACACCCTGCACTTGCATCACAGATGCTTAAGCTTCGAGAGATGTGGGCCTGGAAGCTGGATGGGTCTGCGGAATCGAAGCTTCTCTCAGATGCCTCCACCCACGTAACCTGCATGGAGGGGGTGTGAACTTTAAGCAAACATCCACTGCAGCATGGCTCATTCAATTGCTCAGTCTGGGCTTGTCTGAACAAGAACCTGAAACGCAGATACGCTTGGGGGCCGGCATTGGATACATCCATCCGAGACCTCGTGTTCACGACTCCGAACAAGAATTTTACTGATGCAGCCCTAAACCCTAAAACCCTAAGAGTCGTGCTCATCTGCGAACTGCGGAACGTTTGTGTTGATGGAGCTTTGGCTTCCTGACCACACAAGCAAATTACAAATGAGCCATCGTCTAAACTCCTAGTACCCCCCTGAATAACCCCTATAGCCTATAGTAGCCCCCTGTATAACCCCTTATATTCCCCCCAGTAAGGAATTTAGACTATGGCTCAAATCACCTTACAAAGACTGCCATCATTTTTATTTCTGCTATTACTACTACTAATTACTATTGTTACTACCATTATTGCTATTCGTGTTATTGCAGTTCTCACCACGGCCTTCGTAAAGTTGCATCTTCCTGATACCCTGCGCAGGCGCGGGCTGTAGAGCGATTGATAGGCTGGGCATCAATGCCTTGCTCACACCAGACTTTGGCTTTGTAATACTAATTAGGGGAAAGGATCCCCATAATAACGACCATAGTACTTTGGGGTCTATATTAGGGTTCCCCCCATTTAGGGATAGTACCAGTTGTCGAAATCGTAATACTCATGGTAAGAGTCATAGCAATCGTAATAATAATCCGGTCCGCGCGCGGCCTGGTCGCTGGTCTTAACCAGCAAGCTTGCCCTGAGAGTCCCCGACGTCAAGATGTTCGGCTGCCTTGGCAAACGAAAGGGAGCTTCAAACGGAACAATCCGTGGTGGACACCACTACTTGCAATTGCAAATACCAAGTGACCGATGGCTTTAAGGCCACTATTCAAGCCCAGATGCAAGCTTGGGTTGAGGGAGGAGAAGAGCGCAATTGGACCCACCTTGTTTTGATCTTGCTTGGAGTGACGATGACTCTAGTTGCGAATGCATCCACACGTTCTTGGGAAAATGTGCTTGAAGCTACTAGGCGGAACCTTCCTTGTCAGAAGCAACCGGTTGGTGCTGTTGGTATGGCTACTGTTGCTACCCCCACAAAGGGTTAGGGTACTGGTGAACCGCTTTGAACTCACGTTTCGTGCTGATTGCGGCAGTCTGGGAATCTCTGAAAACCAGGGGATGCCACCAACACCTAGACCGAAGCTGCTTATCCTTTCGTACGTGTTGGCAGACCCCGTCCAACAGTGATACCTGAGGCTTGGAAACTCGTAATAGCATGTGCGGCCAAGAGGCAATGATGGCCGCCAGAACCACGATCAGCAAGCTACCTTGAAGCGCCTTTACAAGCACAGCTTGCTTTCCTGGGGTAGATGTAAGGACCCTATAAAAACTGTTTCTTATGGCTTCATAGGGAATATACAGGCATCAAGGGTAATTAATCATAGTTAAAAACATATTCCCAGGAATATCCCAGCTTCAGCCTACTACAGGGGCCTAAATGATTACCAATATCATTTTGAGGTCCATTTGAGGTACCACATGCTATAATCATACAAGGAATATGGCAGTTTCCTGAAATAAGGGAACCCCATTATAGACCCCAAAATACTATAATCCTTAGTATGGGGACCCCAAAAAGGTACCCCTAATTTTGGGAAACCCCCATATGGAACCATAACGTTGGTAATTATTTAGGCCCCTTCCCTCAATCTCCCCTGCCTTCTCCCACCCTGGTCGAGGTGCAGCGGGTGGGTACCAGCGGCGCAAGTGAAAGTCTCGCTTGGTCCTTGCAGGGGGTTGTTGTTTCTATTAGGGGTATAGGGACGATATAGGGTTTATATGGCGGATATAAAGATAATGTAGATTGTCCAAAGGGGGTACAAGGATGATGTAGGATTTATACTAAGGCACTATATATAACCACAGTTTCCACTTCACTTTCCATCTGCTTTTCCATTTGATTCTCCATTGTTGGGGGGCAGTATCCCTACATAACCCCTATAGCCTGCATAACCCCTATATTTTCTCTAACCTCTATAAAACCCTTATATCCTGTATAACCCCCATATCCTATATAACCCCTTATAAAAGCCAACTCGTAGTTAAGAAGAAAGTGATCAACGCATAGTTGTCACAAAGGATGGCAAGTGGCAGCGTCCTGTAAAGGCATTGCTGAAGGTCCTGGCACTATGGTATGTTCTATTATACTGTGTTATGCTATATTGTAATCTACCATAGTGTATTATGATATACCATATACTTCTGGATCTTCTAACGGCTGCTGCTCTCGTCAAAAGCTCCCTTGCCTCAAGCTTCATCCACATGAAGAAGTCACAGCTGGTCCTGGCGGGGAAAACATCAGAACCCTAAACCCTTTACCCTAACCCCTTTTACCCTAAACCCCAAACCCTGAATAGTTGTTTCCATTTTATTTTCCATTATCCCCATATGGCCCCAATATATACACCCTGTAATCCTCATAAATCCCCATATAACCCTGCAAACAGTCCCTGCCTGGTCACAGTCCAGTCTGTCAGGACACGCATCTCTTCCACGAAGGGCACAGCCAAGTATGCCTGCAAGCAGAATTGCTGACTGTCACAGTCAGACACCAACTGGCAAGGATGTACCTTGAATGCCGCGGCCGAGAAAAAGTTCATGCTTTGTGTCAGGCCCAGCCCACCGCTAGTCACATGAACATCATACCTGCCAGGCAACCGGCCATCAACAGATTTGAAATGCAGTTGCATTCAGCAGCCTGAGCTGTAGGGATGTGAGCATCAAGTAGAGCATGAAGAAGATGTAGAACAACATTTGAACGGAGTTCGTCATCCTGAACAAGCCCTAAGCCCCTAAACCCACTGAGTTGCTACCATTATATGGGTATATAGTAGATAACAGGGCTTCCTTATTATAGTAACTTACTTTCTATATCCCCTTATAATGGTGAATCAAATGGAAAAGAACATGGAAAACGAAATGGAAACTGGGGGAATATAGGTATTCATAATACCTATATTCCCCCAGTTTCCATTTCGTTTTCCATGTTCTTTTCCATCTGATTCTCCATTATAGGGGGATATAGTAGCTTAAATGCCCAGTAAACCCTGGAACTTCTTGTCATCCACCGAGGCCGGTAGACTGCGGCGTTTTGAGATGCTTTTTGCCCACCCGCCCCTGACCCCTCCCAGCAAGCTCCATTTGAGCTATAGTCTAGACTCCTAGTATCCTCCCCTAGAAGCCCCTATAGTAGACCCCTTTTGAGCCCGTCATATAAGCCCCTTTCAAGGAGTTTAGAGTCTAGCTCATAGAACCCTAAACCCTAAACTGGTAGTTTCCATTTTCTTTTCCATTATGCCTAAATAATACCAAAATATACTGCGTGCTGCGACATACTTTCCCATTGCACCGTTTTAGGCTGATGCCCTGCAGCCGCAATCAAATTCAGCAACAAGGCACTGCATCATACTGCATCTGCACAGCTCACGCAATTCCCAGCCAGCCCCCCTTGCCGAGATGACCCCTGTGCCAGCGCTCAAATTGTGCAGCTGCAACGGTCCATCAGAAGAATTCGCTTGAAGGCTATGCCGTGAGAAAAAGCAATCACAGCTATGGCATGTCCTTGGCTTATACTGCGTGCTGCTTGCCCACCTGAGCTATACAGCATGAACGCGCAACAAGAAAGAAAAGCAGCGTTCTTCCCTAAGCCACCGACCGCATAATGAAGAATGTATGTAGGGCAACCAGCTCTGTCAGAAGGATGATCCTACAGCAACAACCATTCTAGCAAACTGACTCAGTTCCAGTGAGCAGCTCTGTGCGTATGCAAAACGGCAGCAATGCAGGTGCAAAGTATAGCACAACCCTTGCATTTTGATACCGTTCCGTACAGTTCGCTGCCGCATGCAGGCTTCGCTGCAAGTACATGAAGTATAGTCTAAACTCCTAGTATCCCCCGTAATAACCCGTATAGCAGTCCCCCATAATCCCCTATATGATCCCCTTGACAGCTCATGTACATGCTATGCTTCGCAGCCAGTCCTTTGGGTGAAATACATCACGTGGTTCATGGCAGGTTGCAGCTCAAGGCCATGGTGCATGTCCTGTGATCAGGACACATTAGGTGGAGCCCCAGCTTATGTTGGGATATATTGGGTATATATATATGCATATATACGGGTCATATGGGGTATAGGGATGTATAGGGAGAATGGAAAAGAAAATGGAAGCTACTATTCAGGATTTAGGGTTACGACTATAAGGGATAATAAGGAATATCTTAGGGTCCTCTTATATTCCTATGATACTACTATTACAGGTAAACCCTAAATCCCTAAAAGCTAGTGGTTGTACAGGATCCTTAAAGGCCTAAATCCATACGGTGGTTTCCCAAAATTATGGTCCCTGTTTGGGTCTCTATTATAATACGGGGCCTAATACAGGGCCCAATTTTGGGCACCCAAAAAGGGACCATGATTTTGACAATCCCTCATACAGCCCCAAACCCTGAATCCTTCTAAAGGACACAGCGCTTCCCCCAAAAAACGCAAGCAACGCCAAAGGGCCTCGCTGTGATCATGCTTCTCGCCTGGAAGCCACTCAGTCTCGCCAGGTGGAGCCACTTCTGAAGCATATCTTATGACTACTTCTCTCTTACTTTCAACTACAAGGTCTATTGTTACTACAGATTTTGCTACTGCTGCTACTAGTAGTACTATAATTATTACCATTCTTGTTATTATGACTATAGTTACGGTTGTTATTCTTCTGGGCCTTCCTTCCGCAGGCTTTCCGCAAGGTCCTTGGCCATGATACAGCCATCGGTGCAAGCCCAGCTCCACAATTCAAGCAGACAGGGACCCCCCCACCCTGTAATAGTCAGGGTCCTAACTCTAAACTCCAAGCCCCTAAACCCTAAACCCAAAATCCCAAACCCTAAATTCTATCATACCACTGTTGCAGGGTGGGGGGTCCACCTGCGAAGCATGCAGCCAGCCGGCCTTCTTGTGGGGCCGGAAGCTGTCCAGGCCTAGTAACTGCGGATAATGACAGTAGCAATAATAGTAATAGTAATAATAATCGTAGTAATAGTAGTATGAATAACAGTAAGAGAAATAATGAAAGTAATAGTAGCAATGCTAGTAATAATAATAATAGCAAAAATTGTAATGTTGGTAGTAGCAACAATAGTAACAATAATAATACACAACAAACCATGGCACGAGAGGGATAGGTTCCTCTTTTGGGTTGCTGTTACCATATTAGGGTAATAGAGGGTTTAGGAGTTTAGGGTTTCCATAAAGGATTTCCATAATATGGGTAGATACTAAAAAATGGGGTTTCCTGATTACAGTAACTTGATTTAACAGCAACCCAGTCTACTGCCCTATATAAACCTCATATCCCCACTACAGTAGTTTCCATTTCCTTGTCCATTATCCCAAGATAACCCAATATCATACCCTACTATAATAAAGTGATAATAGTAATAAAGTGATAATAGTAATAATAGTAATACTCTCAGCCCTGAACCTT